CAACTTTACACATGATTAAATAAATGAAAATTAAAACAACTACAGGATGCCATTTTTTTTGTCCGGGCTGGGGATCAAACTTGCAACCCAGGAACATGCCCTTGACTGGGAACCAAATCCGTGACCTTCCGGTGCGAAGGCCAACACGCTAACTACAGAGCCATGCCAGCCAGGACCGCCCTGCCTTCATGTTTCGGTTCTCATATGGTAAACAAGTGTCCTATTTGTGGTCTAGTCAGTGCCAAATTTTTTGCATTTTGTGCGCTTTTTGTCGGTGTTTTTGCTGTTTAAAAGAGCCCCCAAATTAGTGCTGAAGTGCTGTCTAGTGTTCCTAAGTGCAAGAAGGCTGTGATGTGCATTAAGGAGAAAACACATGATAAGACAGGTTTCCTTCAAGCATGAGTCATAGTGCTGTTGATTACGAGTTCCATGTTAATGAATCAACACTGTATATTAGATAATGTGTCTTTTAAAAGAAACACACACAAAGCAAGGTCATGTATTGATCTGTTGAAAATGTTAGGATCAGAGGCTTTCAAGAACCTCACTCTGTATTTCCCCCTGGAGCAATGGTTCAGTATTTGCTAATTCAGTGTTCGAGGCAACCTTATAGAACATAACTTCGGCAAAAAACAGTAAACCGTATGTACATAGATACTAAACGTTTGTTTGAAATACACACAAAACCTTTAAGAGTGGTTACCTTTGTAGAGCCAGGCTGGGGGTAGGTAAGAGAAGGGAGATTTGTTTTTCATATTTTCCCTTTACATACTATTCATTTTTTGAAAACTCTAAGCATATCTTATTTTCATCTTCTGATAATAAATTTAAAACCACGTATCTCTCAAATTCCCCTCATCTCCTCCATGTCTAATGCAACATTAAATTAGGTCCTTACTACCTTGAGCCTGAATTATTGTAACTACCTCCTGCCCTTTCTTCTTCTAATTTTGTCTCTTTTCCAATCTTTCCAAAAAACCACTGCCAGACAAATCTTCCTAAAACACCACTTTCATCATGTCATTTCCCTCTGAAAAGTCTCAACAATTCTCCACAGCCTATTATAGAAAATCTTGCCTTCAGAGTCTTATATAATCAGGTTTCAACCTGATCTCTCCCTGTCCCCCAATTCCAACTCGACTCTCTGGCCGTCTCTTCTCACTCCCCACCTCATCTGCTCCTGTACCATGGCAGTTTCTGCCTCCATACCTTTGCCTGTTGATCTCCAGATCTGGGCCACACTTCTACAAAATCCTGCCCACTATTTAATTTCACTACCAGTGAAACTCTTCTTAATTTCTTTTTTTCCTGTAATTTTTTCCTATTTCTGATTTCTTACGGAGCTAAACCACACAATGAGTGTTTCACTTATATGTTATCTATGATGCTCTAATTGTATAATGTATTTATTTAAACAAACACTTGAGCACTTACTACATGCCAGACACTATCCTAATTACTTTACAAATATTACCTTATTTAATCTTCACGATGACCTTATGAGGTAGGTAGTATTATTACCTCTATTTTAAGTGTAGAAACTGAAGCACAGAGAAAGTTAATAAATTGCCCAAGGTCGCATAGCAGAGCCAGAATGCACACCCAGACAGCCTGACTCTAGAGTCATGCTCTTTTTTTTTTTTTTAACATATCTTTATTGATCGCAGAGAGAGGAAGGGAGAGAGATAGAAACATCAGTGATGAGAGAGTCATCATTGATCGGCTGCCTCCCACAGGCCCCCAACTGGTGACCGAGCCCGCAACCCAGGCACGTGCCCTGACCGGGAATTGAACCGTGATCTGGATCCTAAGTCGATGCTCAACCATTGAGCCACGCCCGGCTGGGCCATGCTCTTAACTATATAAATTCTCTCAGCTGATTGCTCAAATGAATGAATTATATGACAAGTTCCTTTAGGGAGAGGACTTTATCTCCCATTTCTTGTCTTGAAAGCCCCTTATCATGCTTACGAAAGTCTTATCAACTGCTTTTCTGGGCCTCATTTTTATGGGAGTCTGACACTCCTAGCTCTGGGAATGTCCTTGAGCCTGGGAAGGTAAGCATTGACCTAAGCACATTTCCCTTGACCTTGTGAGCTGCCTCCCTCCTCCTTAAATACCCCATCTTTCTCCCATAGATGGGTGAGCCAAGCCCTTTGCTGACTTTAGCCCTCCCTTCTGGCTTCTCCTCACTCTTTGCCAAGAGCTCACTGTGAGTCTTGTGGTCACAAGAGGGCAAGATGGTATGACTGTCTAACCACTACGCTGTACAACTGAAACTAATACAAAATAATATTGAATATAAACTGTAATTGAAAAAATAAAAATTTTTAAAAATGGGGTGAGACGGATGTTTACTCCATTGGGAAGATTCTCTGAGTCATAAGAGAGCTAAAGACATGACTTCACTCAATTGGCCTCTCGGCCCTATAGCCCATCCACATTGGGTCCTTCCAGGGTACAGTGGGGATTCATATGGGTCTGGGTCTGAATCTTGGCTCTACCCATTTACTGTTCACCTTTAACAAGTTGCTGAAGCTTTCTGAGCTACAGTCAGGCCTCTGTATTTAATTATGCTATGGCTAACAGTGAGCACCTGCTATATGCGAAGCACAGTCCTAAGTCCTTTACATATATGAACTTGTCCAATCTTTAAACTCTATGAGGATGTGCTATTATGGTCTTCATTTTATTTATTTATTTTTTAGAATATGTCTTTTATTGATTTCAGAGAGAGGAAGGCAGAAGGGGAGAGAGAGATTGATAAGAGAGTCACTGATTGGCTGCCTCCTGCAAGCCCTCTACTGGGGATCGAGCCCACAACCTGGGCATGGGCCCTGACTGGGAATTGAACCAGCGACCTCCTGGATCATAGGTCGATGCTCAACCGCTGAGCCATGCCGGCCAGGCTAGATAGCTGTTCTTTAACAATTATGATTCTTATGAAAAAAGGGGCGTTCTACTATTTCTTTCGCAAGAGTAATTCTGTTCAGAAAGAGTTATCAGTAAGTCTTGGTAGCGAGAAGTTAAGAGCAAGTGTTAGAATGGTCCACACTCTGGATGTTTGTGGAGCAATGATCAATAGTGAAAAAATGTTTTGGGTTGCGGAGGTCCCTAAAACTAAAGTATTCCTGTAGTGGGTCTCACTATGCAAAATCTCATTTCGGGATAAAATTCCACTTGGAAAAAAGGCAAAGGGTTTTTTCTTAGATTCAAATATTAAAATGGTTTAGTAGAAAGATGTCCATGGAACTGCTTTGTATGTAGCATCTACCTAACAAATGTTTGCTGGTTCTTAATCCCAATGCCCAAGCCTTTCTACACAGAGGAAGTTTCAAGGATATGGAATATGGACATGGGTTATATTATGGACATAGTTCACTTTCAGCTCAATCACTCCAGAAACTGAGTGACATAGATATGGCTCCATAATTGAGGACCATCTTAAGGTGTGAGCTCTTAGCAACAACTAAAACATGAAACATAACACCCACACATCAAAATCTGTGAAGCTCTTCTGAAGTTGGGACTTAATTTTCACCAAATAGTTCAGCACCTTGCCAGTCTGTGCTTCTATTGAGCGCAGGTGCTTAAGGAAAAGGAAGTTTGACTCTTGTCATGGTCAGTTCCAGTTGAACACTTGCAGGTCTTTACACACATCAGCACTACTCTTGTTTTACTCCCTTGCAGCCTTACATGCACTGTGCTCAGCTGTCACATCACATCAATCAGAAAGAACAATTTTATGAGCCAGTAGGGGTCTGGTATGCTGTATCTCTCAGAACCCTTTTAATTAATTCACTAAAGTCTTTAGTCTAAGGAACCAGCTCAGTAAATCTCTTCAACAAGTTTCCACCATTTAGTAGCTGGCAGCATTAAAATAAACTAGGTCTTCATGTTCCGCTTTAGGTTTTTCCAAACATACTAAAAACCAAATATGGCTAAGGGCAGAAACACAAAGAAAATTCAGTCTTAATTCCTCCATCAAATCATATGACTTGGAGCTCTCTGCCCACACTCTCCTAATGAATGATGAAATGGAAGCTGGGGCCCACTAATCGTTTTGACATGAATAACTTGAATAATGTGTAGAAACCTTTTTTCCCCTGATCAGTGTCAAGTGAGTTTAGCTTTTGCATATTTAAACAAACTTCTCAAGTTCCATACTGACAAGAGGTTAAGCCCTAACAGTTAAATTAAGCACACTTTTCCCCCCCGGAAATATTAAGTGTCCACATTCCAAGGTCAAGAGAGCCTGCATCTGGTAAAAGGGCTGTAGGATAGACAACTCTACACTAAGTTTCACTGATGAAATGAAATTATGCCACAGGGTCCCCATTCTGATATTTTCTCTGTGTATAGTATGGGATGTGGCATGTTCATTCACTCAACTAATATTTATTGAGTGTCTGCCACGTGGAAAGCACTTTGGAGAATATCAAGATAAATAATACTAATAGCTATCATTTAATGAGTCCCTGTTGTATCCTAGAGCCTTTAAAATGTACAGCACTGCAAGGAGATTAACTCTGTTTCACTGAAGAATGTAACAGGTCCCTACAGGAGTTTACATTTCACGAAGACTTCTGGTATATAGCATGGTATAGACTGTATGTATATGAAATCCTAAATGCTGTTTCCAATTAGGTTGACAGGTATATCAGGTTGTTCATTCTGTAGTACTCAAAAGCATCCTAAACTTAAGACCTCCCCAAATGTTTGTTGACAGTGATGACCAGGAGAGAGAGAGAGACAGGCTGCTTTCTCTCCACGCAAAGATCAGCATGGCAAAAGATATTTACCATGCATGTAGCAATAAAGCAAAAATCCCTAAATCCCTAAAAACTAGGTAAACGACCTACCGTTGAGATTAAAAAAATAATCTGAATGAAACCTGGACTGAGCTAGGTATAATCTTACCCACTTGAGGTAGAAACATGTATTAGAATGAAGTAACACAAAAACTCAAAGTCATCACCATGGCAATGTTCATCACTTACCTGGGTGATGTTTTGGGGAGTCGACCTCCACTTGGTAAACTTATCATCACACCAAACTCTTATTCTGAGTGCCAGGCGAAGGCAGAAGACAGAGCCTTGGAGCCTGATCTTTGGGCCTTTCAAGATGTAATTTACATATAAATTCATTTCAGGTGGAAAAAGTAGGTAACATTGTATTTTTTTAAATCGCATTTTAATTTTTCTCCAGGTCACCCCACTTTCCGCACTGTTAATATGGCTCCCAATAGATCAGGATGACAAAAGAAGTTCTCAATGAGGAAAGAGGGCTCTGGACTACCCAAGCCCACTCCAGGGTTCAGGAGACCTCGGCCCCATCCTCGACTCCCCGGCCGCCAGCGCCCCCTCCCGGGCGGCGGGCGCACAACAGAGGAGCGCCGGCCAACACGGCCCTTCCCAGGACTCCCGGGCTTTCTCCCCTCCCCTCCCCTCCCCTCCCCTCCCCTCC